GCTTGGCCTGGGCAGATAAAGATCCAACTAATAATAAATTCATACTATTATGAACAAAACGACATCAGCAAAAAAACATCCGTCTGTTATAACAAAATGTATTAAGTTAATCTGGACCATTATGTCAGATAGATGCTATAATCAGATTCTCAATGTCACTATGTTAATAACTTTTCCCAAAAAAAATCTTTATTTTTAGCTCAAGTAGCAAAATTCTGAGAGACTTAAGCCAAAACCCCCATTCCTGTCTGCTGTCAACTTCATTTTCTCCTACCACTGATGTAATATAAACATGTGATAACAAAAAAAATCACTCACTTGGTATGCCCAAGGCAAAAACTCTGTATCTCATGAGCTCCATCCAAAGGCTTCTTGGGAAACACAGTAACCTGTCATAAGATTAACATTATTGGATAAAGAAATAAAATGGAATTGACTAAATAATTATTTATTTCAATGGGGAGGAAAACGAGTTACACGAATTTTAAAATCCCGATCACCACTAACAATGAATCGTCCATCTGGTAAGTATTCCTGTAAGAAGATACAACTGTTTAGAATAATCCATCCCATTTTTTTTCTGTCATTAATGGGAAATCAGCGGAAATGACCACTGATTCACCAAAAACAAAAAAAAAACAAAAAAACTTTGAATGGTAGAAATGTCTATGATAATAGACTGAAACAAATTACCCGTAATTGCTAAACAATTCACCACGTTTCCGGGATTTTAGTTGGGAGAGCTGTGTCTCTGCTAGCGACCAAAGCGTCGAACAAATTTTTAACTCTACAACAACACATTTCAATTTTCTTTTTTTTTTCCCTTACAAAAAACCCTAAAAAAAAAAATCCCAAATTCTACAGCAACAACAAAAAACCTAATTCTACAACCTAAAAAAAATCCTAAAAAAAACCTAATTCTACAACAACAGATTTCAATTTGTAGTTATATACCTGTAGGTTAGAGTCGCTGGTTCGGGTCGGAGACAGAATCGGGCTGGTCGGAGAGAGAGAGTCGAGAGAAGACAGATCGTCGACAGAAGAGAGTCCGGCGGGACTGAGCGGCGAGAAGCGAGTCAGGTGAGAGACTCAATCGTCGGAGAGAGAGACTCGACTCGATCGTCGGATGGAGGGAGGCTCGGTCGGTGACAGCCTCGGTCAGGTTGAAGAGAAGGGTTGTAAGGGAAGGAGGAGTAGCGTAGCGAAGAGGGAGGGTGGGTATCGAAGGGTTGGGTATCGAAGAAGGAGGGTGGGTATCGAAGGGTTCGAAGGGTCTTCAATGGCTGTGGTGATGAGAGACACTATGACAGAGAACGTGGGAGAGAGGGAGCTGAAGAGAACGTGGGAGAGAGGGAGAGATGAACTCAAACAGGTGGGAAATGTATCTCTGATTCATCTTGGCCGTTGATCTAAACTCAGGATTCATCTTGGCCTTTAAAACCAAATGTATCTCACATACATTTTAAGACATTTTCAAAATCCCTCTTGCCTTATTATATAGATATATTGTTCTAAAAATATAATTAAATTTAAATTAGGTTGAAAAATAGGAATTGAATAAATAATTAGGAAGTTAAGGATAATTTGTTAAATTGAAACCCCAAGTTCTTTCAATACGACCCTTGCTCTTCTCAAATACACGATTGTTGAATGAGAAATGGTAAACAGGGGTTATATATATATAAGGACAAAATAATCTTTTTACTTCTGTCATTAACGGTATTAACTGTTCACTTCAATCTAGTAACCATAAAAGGGTTATGTGGTGATTTTCAGACATCGTGAAGTTTGCCCTAAATGCAATTTATCTTATTTCCAATTTAATACTATCAAACTAATAATTTCATCACTCAATGTTGTCGTACATATAATCACAGGTAACCTTATATGATAATCAAACATGATTTTATGACCATGCTTGATGATCATCTTAGAGAGTGATATTGGATTAACAAATCCTGTTTGGAAAAAAATCATATCTTGCAAATTATTTGGTAGTAAAGAAAGATACGGGATTAAGAATCCATTGGATTGCTTATCCTCTTAAGGGGTTAGATTAACATTCTCATGAGGGGGTGAGATTGACAATCTAATTAAAGACCATTTTATCATCATTTTAACAAAGTCATTTTTTTTATAGAATGAGATTTTTTTTTTCTTATATATAATTTCATAAATTTAACCGCAATCAACTAATACTATTATATTAGTACATAAACAAACATAATTAACTTTACATTTTTAATCTACAAAAAATGCTTCATAGCTTGAAATGCTTGAGGCACGAGTGGCCCGAAAAAGTACAAATTTTCTCTCTCTTCTCTATCTCTCTCCTCTCCTCTCCTCTCCTCTCTATCTCTATTCTCAAAACAAAAAAAAGAATTCAAAGTGAATCAGCAAAATCTCTCATCCCTCTCATCACTCCCACCTCTGTTCCCGCTCATCCCTCTCATCTCCTGGATCCCCGTCATCCCAGATCCCTTTCATCCCTCTCATCTTTGTTAAACTTCTCTCTATTAAACCTCGCTCTGATCATTGTTCGATGAACGATGGCAAACGACAGGCGACAAAATACAGAAAAAAAGCTCTTCAGCTACCGGCAAAGGAAAGTTCTCATTACCTACGAGAAGAAAACGAATCTGAGGTAAACCTAAAATCGTAAAACTAGGGTTTATGTTTTGGCTTTAAGTTTTATACAAATCAGTCGATTGTGGCTGTTTGGGTTTAAATTTTGTGTTCAATTTGTGTTAGGGTTTGGGATTTGTCTTTAATGGTGGTGGAGGGAAGATCAACAGATATGGGGATTCAGGGTTTATCCAAAGGGCCACAGAAGGGGCATGATGGGCCGGGTAATTTTTTGGGCTCAACTGATTTGATAAATATGGGCCAGAAGATTAATTATCAGCAGACCCAGTTTGTTTCTCAAAAGGATGGGCCTTTTAAACAATATATAGAGTATAAGGATGGGCCTCAAGTTAGGGATTGTCTCAATCCCAATGAATTGGGCCCAGTGGGTTATTCGAATGGGGTTCACACTTTGGTGGAGGATATCGGGGCTGAATTTCGAACACAGGAAGCTGAAGTTCGATCCGATTTGTTCGACGTCAAAGGACGACCGCTGGGTGAGAGAGAGGTCCAACGAAGGTTGTCGTCTGGGATGAAAGGAGATGCCGATGGTGACGGTGATGTATATTTACAGAGGGACAGTCAGAATCGATTATCACAAGATGAGATTCAGCTTGGTTTAGCTGATAGGGTGGTTGACTCTGTTGAAGGAGAGCAGAGATTAGCGGCAGAAGTGGCTGAATGGGTCGATGATAGGATCGAAGATGAGAACGATGCTGAATTGCTGAGTCGTAAGGTGGATGAAGGGTGTTTCGAACCTACTGAAGTGTTGTAAGCCTTGAACACCTATGGATCTGGGTCTGATGAGAGCTCAGAGTACGACTCTGGTTCAGTTCGTGAGGGAGATGATTAGGAAGAGTCTGACCTTGATCTTATTAACCTTTTTTCTAAGAAGGGCACTGTTGAGGGGGGGAATCTGAGGGGGTTTCTGAATCAATGGATCATGTCAATGACTCTGTTAATCATGATTCTACTGAAATGTCATCACAGAGGGGTCACATGGACGTCACCCAAGTCGCGTAGGGTTTAGGTCATGTTGCAGAGAGTGCGTAGACCGTTTGATGCCCGTAAGTCGTTGACAGACGTGCTAATCTTACCATGAGAGGTGCTCACTAAAGGTAAGATTAGCACGTCTGTCAACGACTTACGGGCATCAAACGGTCTACGCACTCTCTGCAACGTGAGTTTTCCTAGGATGTACTTGAGTTTACTATCTTCCATTGTATAAATGCTTTTGTATGTAGTAAAATTTACACATTTTATGAAATTTGTTATGTTCTTGAAGTGATTATATATTCCTTACCAACTAAAAAAATTGTTTATTAGCAAAGAACTTAGCAAAAGAAAACAAATGTGGGTTTGGTAAAAGCAACGTCCAGAACTATATACTCATTGACAAAATATAGAGCCCGTCATACTTTCATATTAAAAAGTCGGACAAAAATTTATTTGTGAACAATACTATATTTATCCAAATAACTCAAAATGCCAGCAAAAGTAATTATATTAATCAAAAATAGTAAAGGTTTTGATAGATTAGAAAACCAGTAAAGACGAAATCAGTAATACCTTTGTTTGACCTTCAAACTTTGGATTTGCAACTTTGACAGAGATAACGCATGTTAATCCCTCCCTGACGTGCTCACCACTTAAACTAATATCATTCTCCTGGATTGGATCAAACAAGATTTTAATATTCAAAACAAATAGGCCATAACCAAAGATATTCAATGACAACAAACAACAAAAAGCCAAAATAATAGGCTTGAACCAGCACACCTGGAAAATTTTTGATTTCTTCCCGAGGTTATTGAGAGTTCTTGTTAATGATGTCTTCATACCATCTATGTGAGTACCGCCATCAATTGTACGAATGCTATTAGCGTATCCTAGCATTGTGTCTGAATATGCATCAGAGCACCTACAATAAAGATTGAGAAGAGAACTGAATTAGCTCTAGGCTACACAATTGGCATTTTTGCACATAATACTGGTTTATCATACTAAAGTTTGAAGCAAGAAATCAAACGCCTTTGGCATTTGAGAAAACTATATACTGCTCTCTCCTAACTTGTAAGAAATCCAAGCTCATGTAAATGCATCAAGAAGCATGTAACAAGATAGTGAATGAGTGACACATGGACTAAATCTATTGAAGTGGTCTCTATATTTTCTTGTGGATTGACCAAAATAAATAAATTTGAAAGAATAAATTGTCAAGAGATTCATGGGGGAAAAAAATGCAACAAGAAGAAAGAAAGAAATAATTGCTCACCACTGAAAAGCCACATCAATTCTGGTTCTTGGATCAAAGAACTATCAGTCACTTTACAGTCAAGACTCAAGCATAATGCAATGAAAATTTAATACTATTTTCGTGGAGCTTTCGTATGAAATGGATTTGCTTCATTTAATGCTATTTTCGTGGATCTATCTAAGAATTCTTGCTCTCCAGTGGTGATTGAAGTAATATTCTTTCCATCTTTTAGCTATAAGAATTCAACTTCTAGATTTTAGCTATTTTCATGGATCTATCTAAGAATTCAACTTCTATATATAAACAGAAGCATAACCGGAATAAGGCTCAGAAAATGGACCAAAATATATACTAGATTTTAGGAAATACAGAGAGAGAGGGGGGGCTGTGACCTAGGGCTTCGACAGGCAAAGTCCAAGGGATTCTGCGCCAAGAACGAATGCAGCAAAATCCTCCCGCCACAGATGTAATCACCTTCGTATTCCATCGCGGATTCAACAAAACAATTGAAAGTATAAGAATGTTAATCAAATCAAATCATCAAAATATATTCAGATAGACAGAAAGATATAAGAAATTAGAACGCACCAGGAACACCGGTGAATCGGAGAGTCTCTTCGATCATAGGAATCTGAGCGGACTGATGTTCTTGAAACTGAAAGCTTCAAGCCTGCTATCAATGGCTGCGGTGGTCCCTGAGCAGCTCCTTCGCCACCGAAGTGAGAGCAGCAGAGGGAAAGCCAACGGAGGGACAGCAACGGAGAGAGAAACAAAAGAGTGAGGCCAAGAGTAGATGGGAGAGCTAAAGGTTAACCGGTTAACCCGGTTGCCTATTTTCCACCATTGTTAAGATCAAATTTAAGTAATCTAATGGTTCAGAATTAAGGTGCATACGGTGTGGGGTTGCACACCCAAACACTACCCAAAAATCTTTCACAACACTAGTGAAGTAATTTGTGAAATGAATGTAAAAGTCATTAATTACATAAACTAAAGGCAAATTTAGAAACAAAACTGTTGCCCTAAAAGGGAGTCAAATTAAAAGAATTTGAAAGTCATCAATAGCCATCAACCGTTACCAATATCGATACCTGAAACAAAATCAAAAAAATTGAAATTAAAATGAAGTCTTGCTACAAAGAGAAAAAATATTAATGTTCGGTACTTGGAAATCACGTTCAGTATCCTAATTAGTCAAGTATCACCACTCGCCACCACGCACATAGTTCAGTTATCCTGTTTTCCACATGTTTTCCTCATAGTTTTGCTACCTGTTCTTAAATACTTCACAAAAAATGAGCACAAATATTTTCCCTTAATAACTGAACAATATTTTAAAAAATAAGCACACATATAAGAAAAATGGGACAACAAAAGCATCTGCAATTTCAATGAGGATTTTTATTTTTTTAAAAATAAGATAGCAATAGAACACCCCCCCCCCCCAACAAAAATAAATAAATCTACAATTTATTATTTTTGTAAATATAAAAAGACAATTAGAGATTAATTTTGGTTTTTACAATATGGGATTCCCACACTTTGCAAAAAGTTTTTCATTATGCACATTTTTCTTTTAGTTCAAATCTCCCACATATTTATTTTTCATATAAGCAACTTCCAACCTACAACAATAATGACTTGAGTGACATTTTTAACCTATAAGAATAATAGATTGAACAAAGAGGGGCAGAATCACCACTAAACAACCAAGGCTTTACTGGTCTTCAAAAATTCAAAACAATAGCAATCACACCTGGGAAACAAAAGCCAAAAAAAAAAAAAAAAATCCAAACCTTTGTTGCATAATGGGGTGTGCATGTGCTGTGAGCTGAAGAAAACCAGATCTTGCAAGATTATTTAAGAAAACATTTGCTCCTAGGTGTGGTTCCCTGAGACATTGAAAATAGCTACAATATGGCGCACATTATATCCACTGCACTGCACAACAACATCAAGTAACCAAGAAGCAACATTACCACAAATAGAGGTTGCAAAGGGAGACTCACACCAGCTCATTTGGGTTTGGCTATTGCAGTACCAGTGACCCATGATAACTGGCATGAGTCTTAACATTGGAATTAAATATGCAATTAAAATTAAATATTGAAATTATAGATTCTAAATCCAATATCTCTACCAGTGCAAATCCAATACCTCAACTCAACCACAGGATATCCAGGAAGCCACAGAATATCCAAAAAATTAAAATTCATTGAGGCTAAAAGCAAGTGTGGTTAATAAATAATATAGTGAATTCATGGATTATTCAAGTTGAATTCATGTGGTCAATAAATAATGGAACCATGTGGAACAAAACACCATTCAAGTTATGGAAAGACGACGTCCCAAACCTTTTATCTCGAAGTGTGGGGGTGCTTGGCAAAGATAGGTATTCCAAACTTTAAAAGGAGTAAAATCCGACTTAAAACTTTTGATTGTGTGTTCACTGGATATGCCCAAAATAGTGCAGCATACAGATTTTTGAACCTTCACACAAACTCTATTCTTGAAACTAAAGATGCAGAATTTTTTGAGCACATTTACCCAACGATAAAGGAGAGTTCCTTACCATCAACCTTCTTCCAAATCCACATCTGAAACAACTACAGATATACCTATCCAAGATCTTAGGAGAAGTAAAAGACCTAAAATAGAGTCCAGTTTTGGACCATATTTTATCACAGCTTGTATCACTGAAGAAGACCCTAAAACATATCAAGAAGCTATGAAATCAATAGATGCTAACTTCTGGAAAGATGCAATAAATAGTGAACTAGAATCAATCATGACTAATCGCACTTGGGAACTAGTGGATCTACCTAGAGGATGTAAACCTATAGGATGTAAATGGGTATTTAGAAAGAAGCTTAAAGCAGATGGGTCTATAAATAAATTTATAGCCAGGCTTAGTAGCTAAAGGATATACACAAAAGGAGGGAATAGATTACTTTGACACATATTCACCCGTGACACTTATAGCTACTATTAGAGTCTCGATTGCCACAGCTTCTATGCACAAACTTGTAATACATCAAATAGATGTTAAAATTGCTTTCCTTAATAGAGAATTAGATGAAAAAATTTACATGGAACAACCCAAGAGATTTATAGTGCATGGATAGGAAAATAAAATATGTAAACTTGTTAAATCACTATATGGTTTGAAACAAACACCTAAACAGTGACATGAAAAATCTGACAAAACACTTATCTCTAACGGATTTATAGTAAATGAATCTGACATATGTGTTTATAGTAAATTTTTTGGTTTTTGTGGTGTCATTATTTGCTTATATGTTGATGACATGTTAATTTTGTGTACGGATGAAGAAGTTGTTAAGAACACCAAAAACTTTTTGTCCACAATCTTTGATATGAAAGATCTAGAGAGAGCTGATATCATTTTGGGACTCAAATTGAGACATGATAAAGAAGGTATTATTTATCCCAGTCACATTACATTGAACAAATGCTTAAAATGTTTAATCATTATGACTCACGACCTGCCAGAACACCATACGACCCTAGCTTACACTTGAAGAAAAATAATGGACCTAGTGTAGCCCAATCTAAATATGCTAAGGTTATTGGCAATGTTATGTTTCTAATGAATTGTACACGACCAGATATTGCTTACACTATGAGTAGGTTGAGTAGATACACACACAACCTTGGTAAGGAACATTGGACTGCCTTGACTAGTGGCCACTCTAGGAGTTTGTGTTGGGGTAGTCATTAAAAGTTGTAAGTTTAAAATTCAATGAATACTTATCGATTTTTCATAAAATTAATCAAATATTTATGGATGAAATTGTGCTAATTTTAAATCAAAATCCTAAAAAAATAGGTGTAATTCAAAGAATGTAATGAAATGGTATGTAGTAAGAGCCAAAGAGGCAACATAGTAGCATGAACAAAAGCACCCTGAAATTATAAACGATGGAAGAAAGTAGGAAAAGAAAAATGCTTAAGACCACTAAAGCATGACTCCCAAATTTACTTATAGTGACGTGTTCTATTGCATGATAGTTGTTGATTTGTTTAGCAATCAATCACTCAACCCCTTGCCGTGTCACTATGGGTAAATTTAAGAATAATATTTCAGTGTCTCTAGTATTACTCAACGAAAAAATTATTTAACTTAAAAATGAAATGTGGAGTGTCTATTTAAATTTGATATGGTGTAGAACACACTTGGAATAAATTTAGTCAACAATACATATTATTTTCAGAATTTTATTTTTGTTTTTTATTTTTGGTATGTAGTGTTACACTATTAAAGGAAATCTTGAAGCTTTGGAAAAAAAAAAAAAAATTGAAGCCTCCAAGGGAATTAATTTGTGTAATTCAACCAAAGTAAAGAAGAGCTTTAGGCAACGAGTATTTCAATTTGGAAGAGCTTTATTATGCAACAATAAACGAGCAACCAAGGTTCCTAATAATAAAAGAACACTAAATTGAGATACTTACAAGAAAAGTGGGTTTATGAGACGGAACTATTTGCGACGGCACACTTGCCGTCTCAAAAAGTCACTTTTTGCGACGGCAGAAAATGCCGTCTCAAAAAAGTAGAGTATTTGCGACGGCAGAAAATGCCGTCTCAAAAAAGCAGAGTATTTGCGACGGGACAATTTGCCGTCTCAAAAAATGAGAGTATTTGCGACGGCAGAAAATACCGTCGCAAATACTGTCATTTTTGAGACGGCAAATTGTGCCGTCGCAAATACTCTGCTTTTTTGAGACGGCATTTTCTGCCGTCGCAAAAAGTGACTTTTTGAGACGGCAAGTGTGCCGTCGCAAATAGTTCCGTCTCATAAACCCACTTTTCTTGTAAGTATCTCAATTTAGTGTTCTTTTATTATTAGGAACCTTGGTTGCTCGTTTATTGTTGCATAATAAAGCTCTTCCAAATTGAAATACTCGTTGCCTAAAGCTCTTCTTTACTTTGGTTGAATTACACAAATTAATTCCCTTGGAGGCTTCAATTTTTTTTTTTTTTTCCAAAGCTTCAAGATTTCCTTTAATAGTGTAACACTACATACCAAAAATAAAAAACAAAAATAAAATTCTGAAAATAATATGTATTGTTGACTAAATTTATTCCAAGTGTGTTCTACACCATATCAAATTTAAATAGACACTCCACATTTCATTTTTAAGTTAAATAATTTTTTCGTTGAGTAATACTAGAGACACTGAAATATTATTCTTAAATTTACCCATAGTGACACGGCAAGGGGTTGAGTGATTGATTGCTAAACAAATCAACAACTATCATGCAATAGAACACGTCACTATAAGTAAATTTGGGAGTCATGCTTTAGTGGTCTTAAGCATTTTTCTCTCTCTATCTCTCTCACTCATCTCTCTTCTCTCTATCTCTCTCATTTCTTTTCTCTCTCTCTCTTATCTTTCTATCTCTCTCGCTCATGTCTCTTCTCTCTCTGTCTCTCTCTTTTTCTGTGTCTCTCTCTCGCTCATCTCTTTTCGCTCTATTTCTCTCTCTTTTTGTCTATCCCTCGCTCATCTCTTGTTTCTCTCTCTTTTTCTATCTTTCCCTCTATCTCTATCTCTCTCTCTCTCTTTCTCTCTCTATCTCTTTTTATGTCTCTCTCTATAAGCTTCCTCCATTTTCAGACCCTCCACCTCCATACCTACAATAATATAATCCATATAAAAACATGAATATATATATATATATATATATAGAA